TGGAGACGGTGGGAAGGAGACAGAAGAGGAGGAGATGGGGTCTTTTTCACGCAGACCCCATCGTGCTGGATTTCCTCGGTGAATCCACTCAAGGACACTTTGTTCTTCTTGGCCACTGGGCAAGCTTTCAGTTTCAGGGTATAGACTTAGAAGTGGGGTGCTGGGTCACATGGTTGATTAAGGACCGCCGAGTTCTCGACATCCTCAGAAATAGTATTCCCCATAGCAGCCACCGCTGTGGATGTGAAGGTCTCTGGGTAGGCTGTGAAAGTATGAAATTAACCTTGAGCAGTATGTGTTGAATGGGCCGAGCATCACATCCCCCTTGCTTGGTACCTGCATAGGTCCTCAGACAGGCCCGGGATCCTTGGGATGAGGGCTTTATCTCCTTGGGAGGAAGGGCCACGATGGTGGTATGAAAGCCTGTCTTCTTAGACTCACTCTCAGTTATCATATAGCATTTCAACCTGGTAATGGGCTTCAGGCTCACGCTATCCCACCTTAATTAAGCCAATCCGCACATCATGATCAAGACATCTCATAAAAAAAAATGATCTGTAAGAGCATCACACAGAGGAGACCAGATGAATATATGAGCCACAAGGAAACGAGGGGTCACAATTCCTGTGGCCCTCGCAGAGCCCCTTAGTCACCATAGCAACAAACCCAAGCCGACGTGCTGGTTCAGACAGAGGAAAGAATTAAGAATGTTGGAAGCCCTTAAAGATGACCTCTGCCCGAGGAAGCCCACTCCAAAACATGTGTCCTGAGTAAGAGCCGTGAACCCTGACTACTAGACCATCAGGGCAGAGATAGTGAAGTGTCCATGGTGCCCTGTGTCATCCAGACACCGGCTAATGATCTGGCATGCCACGGCAAACCGTTTTATTAATGGGGCACATGATCAAAATATTTGGAGACTGACATTCATTCCTGTATCTACCAGGCAAGGCTGATCCAGCAGGTTTGGAAGAATCACATAAAGGTTACTGGAAGAGGACTGGGGCACGCATCATGTGTGCAGGATGGAAATGGACATCTGCTCAGGCAGAGTCGCTTTTAACAAGGATTTTTTTAAGACAGGAATAAGGGTTGCGGACGGCCCTGGGGGATTCCCTGGGCTTCTCTCTGTGTGTCTTTGGGCGCTGCTTCCTGCAACTCCTTCCACTTAATTGTGTCTCTGTGGACTTCGCTTGCCTCCCATGTAGAATGGGGCTGGTATCTACTCTTCACGAGGCTGTGGGGAGATGTCTAACAGAGTGCCAAGGGTCCTCCAGAGGCAGCCGAGGATGGTGACTGGACTATTTGTTAACTCAGAAAAATGATACATTATATGGTTGTAAGTATCTTACCAAGTATAGCAGGGAATGAGCTACACATGGCCCAGGGCTGGCCATGCCATCTCCATCCATGGCTTCAAGGAACAATTTGTGAGCCTAACTTGTTTTACTGATCCCGTCTCAGAGGAGTTCTGCTTCTGAAGTCTTTGTAAAGTCATTTTAAGGGCTGCATCCACCAATGACTAGCATGTATTTCTCCTCCTCCTTCTGCCAGTTCTCCTTTCCTTTAATTCTTTCAGTGCTGGGAATGGAACCCAAGACTTTGCACATGCTGGGCTAGGCAAGCTGCTCCAACATTCAGCCCCTGCCTTGTTCTTGTCTCTTTAATGCTTCTTCCCCATCTGCCTGGCAAGCTCTCCCAGGTCTGGCTTTCGTGGCACCCTTCACGAGCCTTCAGCTTGGATGATGCTGGAAGCCGAGCCAGGGTCTCCCTGATACCTGATGGCCTTCAGGTCTCTTTCGGAACCTCAGGTAAGGGAACCCATGATCACTCTCCCACTGCTACTCCCATTTTTAAAGTCAAGCAGCCAGAATGATCACTGATCACTATTAGATCGTGTACAGTGACCACATGACAAGTGGGGGCAGGACGAATGGAAAGGGAGAGAGAAAAGGGGGAAGGGAAGGAGAGGTAAGAATCGTGTGAAGAAAGGAATGAAGGATGAAGAGAAAGAGGGAAGGGGAGAGAGAAAGGAAGCAAGGAGCAGGATCTTTTTGCATCTTTAAACCATGTAGTTCCTGCTCCAGAGCGTTCTTTTGCTGGGCAAACTCTAGGATCCAAAAAGTATCTCCCTCCGAGTGGCCCTCCAACTGTGCGTCCTTGCCTAACTTTCATGGCAACCCCGTAAGGAGCTCTTGTGACTGTGTAGCACAGGCAGGGAAGCCAAGGGTCGAGAGGACCCAACTACTGTCTAGATGTACCCCATCCTCAGAGAATATCAGCACAAACAGACGGGTCACCCATCTGTCTCCGAGGGCTACCTCCTCAGAGCCCAGAGAAGGACCTGGGATCTGTGGGAGCCCATCTTAACCCAGAAGGCTGCCCGAAAATGCCAGGAAAGGAGTTCAGGAACTGCATAGGCAGAAATGAAAACACAAGCCCAGCGCTTGTGTTCCTGGTTGAACTATGACTCACAGCAAGCACGCACTTTTAAGATCTCAAGCTTCTGGTTCTCTTTCTTCCAGCCCACCTATTCCTACACTCCCTAGAAGGGGATGCCCACATCCTTCACTGCCTCCCCTCCCCTCCTCTCTCCTCCTGCCTCTCCTTTCCCTCCTCCTCCTCCTTTTACTCCTCTTTCCCTCCTTCTCCTCATTCTTTCCTTCTTTCCTCTTTCTCCTTCCTTTCTTGTCTTCTCTAAAAATAGCCATCTAAAAAAAAAAAACAAAAAAAAAACAAACCCACACACAGCCTTTGCTGCTGCTACCGAGCTCTTGTCTCTGCAATGACCTCTCCGCCAATTCCAGGCATACAAAGCCACGAGTCCAACTCCTCTCAGATACTTCAAATTGACCCTGAGACATCCCCACCCCACTTCTGCCCTTCCTCCACTTGCTTATGAGGTAGCTCTAAATTCTTGGCCTCCCGACCACAATCCTCCCATGGTTCCCTATTGTCCTAGAGAAGTCCACACCTGACTCAGCATTCCATCGGACATCTGCAGTCTTCTCAAGTTTCAATTCCCATCCTTCATGGGGTGAACTGTCCCTGATGTACTATTGGTAGAGATGGCAAGGGCCTCCTCGGGTTACACTGGACAGTTGGAGCTTGGATTAGCACCAGGGGTGCTAGACGATTTGTCTTGTGACAAGACACCTGTCAGCTGCTGAGAGCAGCTTGTCATTCCAATTTCCCAATGGTCCTTGTGCTTCCCTCTGCTCTCCTAGCTACTTCTGCCGGTGTGTGTGTTCCCAGCCTCTCCCTCTGGCTCCTCTTAGTCCACAGACCTCAGCTCTGCTAACATGGTTTGTTCAGCTGCATCTCCCTAGGGTGCCCTGTTTCTGCAAGTGCTGAGTGAGCTGGGGCTCTTCTCCTGGTTCCCAGTTACTGTGAGTTTCTCCACGCTAGGAGGGCAAGATTGACGCCCAAGGTTCCCTTGAGTACACACAACTGAGGCAAGGCCTCCCTCCGGCTATGTTTTTCAGGAGCTCTCTAAGCTGGGCTTAGGGGTGGACACTTAACACAGAACTGCGAACTCTGCAGCTGCCTGTGATTTCAGGGAGGTGAGGAGGCTCACTACTTCTGACTCTGACGCCTGGAGAGGCTGCTCATACGCCAGGGCCTAGGAAATTTCTGGACCTTGTTCTAGGTTTGATTTGAAGGCTGGAGAGCACCTTTCCCCAGGACCCCATCAGCAGTGTGAGGTGCAAGCTCCTGTCATATCTGGGTTTGTATAAAAATCTATGCGGAAACAAGCGGTAGGTAGATCTTAAAAGATGACTGGGCAGAAATGGGAGTTTTGTTTTGTTTTGTTTTGTTTTGTTTTGAGACAGGGTTTCCCTGTGTAGCCCTGGCTGTCCTGGAACTCATTTTGTAGACAAGATTGTCATCGAACTCACAGAGATCTGTCTGCTTCTGCCTCCCTGGTGCAAAACAGAGGAATCTCATTTCAAGCCAGGACTCAAAGACAGTTCACACCTAAGAGACAGGACCTGAATTAGGTCCCGTTTATTGATTTGGCACTGTCTGCTCTGAGGGATGTAGCCAAAAAGCTTTTGGGCCTGGGTAAGAAGGTGAGATGGTAGTCCACGCAGGGTTGGCTCACCCTGAGAGCACCCTGTCAGAGTCCTGGTGTGGTGGGACACACCTCGAATCTCAGCACTCGGGAGGCAGAGGTAGGTGAATTTCTGTGAGTTTAAGTCCAGTCTGGTCTACATTGTGGTTTCAAAACCCCATTTCTAGCAAACCAAAGCACTCTGCCTACATAGTAATTGAATATAAACATTGCATAAAAAGGGGGTACAAATATACATTCCCCCAAAGGTCATAGAATAAAGGAGGTCAATCTTAGCACCCCGTGCTGAGAGACTAACCAAATGCAGTTATTTCCCTTCTTTCTCTCTCTCTTTTTTTCTTCCTGAGACAGGGTTTCTCTGTAGCTTAGTAGCTTATCCTGGAACTCGCTCTGTAGACCAGGCTGGCCTCGAACTTACAGAGATCCACCTGCCTCTGCCTCCTGAGTGCAGGGGAAAGAGGGGCATTAAAGGCATGCGCCATCACCACCCAGCTATACAGCTATTTTCAAAAGAGGCAAACTAAAATCTAATAAGATTTGACTAGACTATGGCTAGCCTCTTTTATGAATGTTCCATTAAAAAGATGTGTGATCCTGTTAAAAGTCATTTTCTCCTGGGGCCATCTTAGATACCTGCTTGCCCCCACCCACCCGTGGGGAAAGAGAGCACACAACCTTGTGAGAGGATCTGAAATAGAAAAATACTTAAATGTAGATGTAACAGGTCTTCTCTTTAACCCAAAGATGTTCCTTTTGGTCCAGCCCCAGGGATGAGCGGCCCAGGCAGGGATCCTGGGGTTTCCTGGTGGATTTGGAGCTTGATATGTTTTGTACCCTGGAGCTGGACTCTGTCGTGGCTGGGTCTTTCTGCACATCTAGTGATCTGGTGTCCCAGGATTTCTGATCTGTGTTCACACAGCTTGTTCTCCATGTGGGCATGGACGCTTCCCCCAAAACCATCTTTCTGGAACAGTGTGACTAGAACCGAAGTTATCAGGATACAGACATAAGAGGCTTCCAGCTTGAGGGTGGAGTGTGCCTCTCAGGTGGCCCGGAAGTGACGCTGTCTGTTGTCAGCATGAAGGAAGTCTGCCGTGGAGCTATTAAGAATGTCAAGGTGGCTCCCCCCACCTCCGTGAGAGCAGGTACACTTTAAGTGTCCATGTGCCAAACAGGTGGAAGGGAGGGAATGTCCATCAGAGTCCCTTCTCTCTCCTCAAGATGTTATCCTATGCTGTCCAGGTGGCTACTGTGGTCACAGGCCTCCCCAGAGTCGCCCTTCTTTGCCACAGGCCCTAAAGATTAATTCTCTTCTCCAAACACTGACAGCCCTCCCGCTGAGCATTTTGTCCTCTCTTCAAGGTATCAAGACAGGCCTGAGTAAGGACGCAACTGAGGGAGTCACTGAGGTAAAGGTGTTTTACCGTGAGTTGTTTGAAAGTCTGGTTCAAGGGGCTGGAGAGATGGTTCAGCCGTTAAGAGCACTGGCTGCTCTTCCGGAGGACCCGGGTTCAGTTTGCAGCACCCACATGGCCGCTCATCATTGCATGTAACACTAGTTTCAGAGGAATCAACCTGACAACTTCCCGCAGACATACATGCAGGCAAAACACGAATGCACATGAAATAAAAATAATTTAAAAAAAAAAAAGTCTGGCTCAATTCTGTCACGACCACTTGCGGGCCATTAGACTCTGAGACCAATACCCAATGTCTCTGTGTCCTTTCTCTAGCAGGAGAACCATACTCAAGTGGTGGCCTCCTCGTGCTTCATGAGCACCCACCACACTAACTGTGTCTATAAGGGACAGGTGCAGGAGCAATGGGGAACTTCCTGTGGTTGCAGGTGCGTCTGCGACTTCACCTACTGCCTGTCTCTGAACCTTGGAGATGGGCATGCAGCGCTCATCCATGTCCCTCCGCTGTCACCCTGGCTCCCAGCCAGCCTTCTGGGCAAAGCCTTGCAAGTCATCATCCAAGAAATGCTGGAAGAAAGCGAAGTCCAGACTCAAAAATATAACAGCCGAAGGGAAGCAGCAGGGGGATGGCTCCTTTAGATAAAACGTTTGGACCCTGGGTAGGAAAGGCTGCTGTGCTGTGAGAGGGTCTTACAGAGTGGCTTGTGAGACAGTTTACATGGCTAGGGATCGGGGTGGGGGAGGGGCATGATGCCACGGAGTTACTTCAGAGTACAAAGCAAAAAGAAAATCCCCAAAGGCAGATGCTTCACAAGGGATTAGCTAGCAGAAGCTAAGGCTTTCTGGACAACCTTATTGCAAGCCAGTAGTTTCCATTCCAAGATGGCGTGGTCTTTCCTCAATCTAGGACCACAATGGGACCACAGAGCTGCTTCAGAGGTTCCAGAAATGGAGATGCAACTCTGGCTCCAGGGGCTGTAACATGAAGGCTGCCTAGCTTGTTGGGGTTTCTGTCCTGCCCAGTTCCCACAGCTGTTTAGCCCCAAAGAAAATCACACAGAGGTCTCCATAAGTTATAAGCTGATAGGCCCATTAGCTCAGGTTTCATATTAGCTCTTATGACTTATATTACCCCATTATTCTGATTTATTTTAGCCATATGGCTTGGTACCTTTTTCAGCTGGCAGGTCACATCCTGCTTCCTTGGTGGTCTGCGCAGGACTGGGTGGAATCAGCTTCCTCCTTCCCAGAATTCTCCTGTTCTTATTGCATCACCTCTACTTCCTATCTGGTTTTCCCACCTATACTTCCTGCCCGGCCAATCAGCGTTTATTTAAAACATGATTGACAGAATACAGACAATTCTCCCATACCAAGGGGCCCCAATTCTGGTCCCCAAGTTTATCATTTAGGTCCTCTGAATGACTTTGGGGTCACCCAGTCTTTAGTGTTTGGTTTTCTCTTCTGTATGCCTGTCTGTCTCCCACCCCTCATCATTTCAATGACTTTTTTGCTTTTTGGTTTTTTTGTTTGTTTGTTTGTTTTGTTTTTCGAGACAGGGTTTCCTCTATGAAACAGTTCTGGTTGTTCTGGAACTTGCTCTGTAGACCAGGCTGACCGCGAACTCATAGAGATCCTGCCTCTGCCTTCCAAGTACTGAGATTAAAGGCACATGCCACCACTGCCACGGCCACTGCCGGGCCATTTCGACCATTTTTAAGCGAGCAGTTCAGTGGTATTCATTTCATGCACTCTGCCATCATCACAGTGCAGCTCTAGAACTTTCTCTGCGACCCTCTGTTGTGGTTTGAATGTGAAAGGCTACCCCAGGCTTCTGTGTTTGAACCACTTGGTCCCCTGCTGGCGGTGGTGTTTTGGAGGGCTGTAGAATCTTTAGAGTCTTGCCTGAGAAAGTGAGTTCCTGCCAGCAAGCTTCCACACTTTAAAGCCTTCCCCACTTTCTTTCACATTGGATCCCTGAAAGCAGAGGCAATGAGGCCAGCCTGCCTCCTGCTGTGCCGCTATGGCGTCCCTTTGAACTGTATACCATAACAAAACCCTTTCTCCTTAAAATCACTTTTGTCCCAGCACCCTGCCGCAGTGGTAGGAAAAGTAACAAATACGCCATTAAACAACAGTTCTCTATTGTTCTCTTCCTCAGCCTTTGGCAAGCACCACACAGTACCCTCCATCTCTATGGCCTGCATGAGTCATATACCAAATACAAGCAGAACCTCACGCTATCTGTGTCTCTAGGGTCATCTATGTGATTGCATGTGGCAGATCTCATTGCTTTGTAAGGCTGAACAGTTTTCCACTGTATGAAGACAGAGCACTAATTTTCCCCACCATCTCTAGATGGTCACTTAATTAATGCTGCTCTGAACATTGACATCTGAGTATCTGCTTAAGTACGTGATCTTCAGGGTTTTTTGTTTGTTTGGTTTGTTTTGTTTGTTTGTTTGTTTGTTTACACCCAGATGCAGTGGTTTGAACAAAGATGACCTCCACAGACTCATAGGGAGTGGCATTATTGGAAGTGTGGCCTTGTGGGAATAGTTGCCGATTATTGGAGGAAGTATGTCACTGGGGTTGGGCTTTGAGGTTTCAGAAGCTCAAGCCAGGCCTAGTGGCTCACTGTCTCTTCCTGCTGCCCGTGGATCCAAATGTAAAACTCTCAACTACCTCTCCAGCACCGTGTTTGCCACCATGCTTCCTGTCGTGATGATAATAGATGAACCCTCTGTATAAATCAGCCCCAATGAAATGTTTTCCTCTATAAAAATTGCCGTGGTTACGGTGTCTCTTCACAGCAATAAAACACTCTAACACCAGAGGTGAGTAGCCCCTGGGGATTCTGTTTAGCTTTCTGAGGGAGTACTACATTGTTTTCTACAGTGGCTGTACCACTGTACCTTCCCACTGGCTGGGTTTGCTCAGAAAGCCAGCTCAGGAGGTAGACTTGGCTCTTCTCCATCAGCACTACCCTTTAAAAACATCAGAATCCTCTTGTCTTAGTCACTTTTCTATGGCTGTGATGAGACACCATGACCAAAGCAACTTACAGAAGATTTTATAGGAGGCTTACAGTTCCAGAGGGTTAGAGTCCATGGCCATTGCGGTGGCGAGTGTGGCAGCAGACAGGTTGGCATGGTGCTTGGGTGGTGGCTGAGAGCGTATATCTCATCCAGAGGCACAAGGCAGAGGGGGGTGAAGAGGGAGATGGAGAGGGAGGGAGAGGGAGGGAGGAGAGGGAGATAGAGAGCGAGGGAGAGGGAGGGAAGGAGAGACAGAAGACAGACAGACAGACACTCTGGGAATAGCATATGCTTTTGAAAGCTCAAAGTCCACCCACCCTCAGTAACCCACCTCCTGTAACAAGAACCACACCTCCTTATCCTTCCCAAACAGTTTCACCAACTGAGGACCAATATTCAAACATAAGAGCCTGTGCGGGCCATTCTCATCCAAACAACCACACTCTTGTTTCATTGGTTTCCATTTTAGGACACACACCGAGTTGTGTGACAAGCTGCGTGCAGCAGAGTCCTGCTTGTCTGCCATGTCGGTGTCTTTCTGGTCCTCATTTCCATCACAAGCCCCATCAGTAGCACTGTTTCCTCTAAGAAAGCAAATGAAAGGAGCTACCAAACACTGGGCAATTTCTTGTCTTGTTGGTATGCTCAAAACTACTGTTTGCTACGTATGTCTGAAAAAAAAATCACGGTGGCTCACTGTAAGAATATGAGTTTATAACCTAATAGCTAAGGGAGACTGAGTTGGGGATGTAGTTCCCTGGCAGTGTGCTGCATGAGGCCCAGTCTAAATGTGCTCCGGGACAGTCAGGGAGAAGGGGAGATGGGGAGAGGAACAGGGGTAGGAGAAATGGGTGGGATGGGGAGAGAATATAGAGAATATGAACGAACAGGGCTCTGGGTAGCTCTAATGGTAGCTAGCATTACGAAGAGCTGCCAAAACCCACTATCAAAACCAAAGGAACTGAATAGCTCCCATCCCCCATCCCCTAAGACAGGATTTTTCTGTGTAGCCCTGGCTATCTTGGAGCTTGCTCTGTAGGCCAGGTTGGCCTCGAACTTACAGAGATCCACCTGTCTCTGCCTCCCAAGTGCTGGGATTAAAGGTGTGAGCCACCACCACCTAGCTGCTCTCATTTCTCTTGCTGCTATCTTGAAGAAAAGACTTCATGGGCTGAAGAGATGGCTCAGTGGTTAAGAGCACTGACTGCTCTTCCAGAGAACCCAGGTTCAAGTCCCAGCATCCACATGGCTGTTCACAACTGTCCGTAACTCCAGTTCTAGGGGGCCTGATACCCATAGCAAAACATCCATGCACATAAAAAAATAATTTAAAAAAAACTGTGAAACTCCCCCTGCATATAAACCAGGACTGTTTTACAGATGACAGATCCAAGTCACAGCAAGGCTGATAATGTGGGTTGGGATGGTACAGGTCACCTGCACAGAGCCTAGATGCCTGGCTTGTCCCATGGAGGCCCTTCTCTGTTTGTGAGCAAAGAGTTTCTGCCTAAAGCCTTACATCCCCTTGTTCTGGGAATGGACTCCAGTGTTGCCTCACATTACTTGGCATGGGCCAGAAGATACCCAGTTGGGAGGACCAGAGCTCCCCATTGATGACCTTCCTGTTCCCCTTCCAAACCTCTGAAGTTTCTCAAGACCCCAGAGAACTATTTACACTGTGGCTTTTGTAAATGGCCCGACATCCCCCGGCAATACATACTGTGTTCTGTTCAGTTATGACTTTTGTATGTGTGATGGTTTGATATATGGTGGGTTTGTATGTTTGATAGACACAGTGTAAAAGGCTGCATTGATCATTTAACAGCTGGGCAGTTTGGAGTTTGACTATGTTTGTCAAGCAACCAGACTAATAAAAAGTTCCACCTTTGCAGGTTGTGAATACCCAGTAAAGGGGTGGATGATAGCCTATCACAGCAACACATTAGTACACACACACACGCACACACACGCACACAAACACCAAATGCGGGCTCTCAACTTGTGACTTTAGGATATAGTTTTAAGGTAATTTCCCAAGGCTTCAGGTGTTGAAAGTTTATTCCCACCCCTCAGCATGCAAAGGTTTAGGAAAGGCAGGACCTTTATGAGGTGGGGCTGGTGGGAAGCCCTTAGGCTAGTTGCCCTGGGAAGTTAAATATTCTTGAGGGAACCTTGTGTTGGACGAGCCTGCTGGCCTCTGAATTGCTCCCTGGCTTGTTTGGGGAGTGATGACCTCCCTTTGCTATGATGTCTTCACCAGAGCAGAGCTTCTTTAGCAATGTGCCCACCTCGGGTATTTTGTTCTATAGTCAACAGAGATATCTGGACCTGCGGGAATAAATAAAGCCACCTGCTTAACAGGTGACTCCGAAGGGAGGGAGAGGATCTGACTTTTAAAAGGTCCCACATTCATCCTTAGCAGCAGCTGCTTCTGGCTAGGCAGGCTTATTTGAAGGCACACAACGGCAAGCTGCAGGCATAGCACCGATGTGTGGGACACCCAGGGAAATCGACCTCCATAGTGACCAAAGGAAACGCCCTGAGCTAAGCAGAAACTTCAGGATAAGGCCAGACTGTACCAGGATGTGCTCTTGCAAGAAT